TTGTCCTAACATTTCTTAAAAAGTTCACTAGCAGTTTGCATCAGGAGAGAAAGGATTTGTGTGAAACCCATATATCAATTACTTACTGCATGCCAATATAATGTCACTTATGGGATATTGCAGTTGGTTATCTGTAAAAAAAAAAAATTCAAAAATTCATAACTATTTTAGAAACTGAGACTTTCGATATTCTTTTTGGATAATTCTTGACGATAGTTTCAGAAAGAGAAAAAAATGATGAAACAATTTTGAACATTTTGTTAAAGCAAAGTTATAGTTGAGGCGGTAATTTTCATTTCAACGTACTTATGACATTACAAAAATATATACTCATGCAACTCATGAAAAATTTCCGATTCTGACAGCGATAGTCAAAAAGGGAAGAATTTGAAGCTTGCCACTCTTCGAAATATTGATATTCATAATTTCAGCCTTTGTTTTTTCCGGGTGCGGCATTTTCCGCACTGTGTGGATAATGTTTTGAAATCACTAGAATTAGCAAAAGTCTCGATTTATGAATTCGCCAATTCCGCTCAACACAATCATCAGCAGAACCTCGGCTCGATTGGACATTCGTCCTCTAAAGAATGAACTTCCCGCTACCAAAGTGTATTTCAGAAACGACGTGTCGGCTGAAAATTTTCGTGGATAGATAGGTGCTTTTTAAATGTATCTATGCGATATTTTATGAACGCGAAACAAGTGCCTCCCGTGTTAGCGCCGCGGGCATGGCAATAAATAAATACCTATTATTTTGGAATCCATCATTATACTGGAAGAGTTCTCAGCGTTTTGACAGTCGTGAGTTGACCAACCCCACTAATTTAAAACACAGAATGTGGGCTCCCAGTCCATGGGAGGAACGGCAATCGCTGATTTTAATTCAGTTATATTCCAGTAAAATCCGAATTCTTCCGCAAAATTTGATCCTGACAAGCTATGCGGAAATCGTTGTAGAGGGGGCGAGTTGTGGTACCATCCGACAACTATGTTGAGGATGGATAGACACGCGACCTCCAAATAGAGGCGTCAACGTTTGGGTCAGTGATCCATACAAATTGGTCACTACGGTTGATTTTGACTGCCATTTTTCTGGTATTTTCCCCCAATGACTCAATCGACCCGGTAAACCAAAAACTGGAAGTTCAACATTTTGCGATCAGTCGCAGCACTACTAATTATGAGAGGCCTTTGGTATTAAAATCCGTATATTCTTGTAACACACGGGTGGTGTATATTCTTCATAATTCTGCTCGTAAAAAATTGGAAGCTCGAAAGGTCGTAGTTCTCGAGGAGTGTGCGTCGTGGTGGTCAGTGTGCTAGGTTCTTCCCTCGTCATTTCCAGTGAATAATTTTTATAGGTTGTTTGGTGGCTTAGAAGTACTTGCTTAGTAGAATAACTTGCGTTATTTTTGCTACTGGCAAGTAAAAGAACGTCTAAGTCGATGGTTGCTATCAGTTTTACCCTGGTAAGTAGCATCTATTCTGGTCTTAGTGCGTATTGAAAATTATGGAATCGGGTGCTTTTTATGAATGATATTAAAGTCAAATTCAGAATTTAGACCCTCCACCCCCTCACCACTTGTCACAACCTTTGTGAAGGTTAAAAAATTACGTCACTTATTGTGTGATCACCGTTTTTACTTAAAATTCGGAATTTTTTTCAACTTAAAGGCCGCGTCAAAGGATCCTCTTTTGAGACGAGGATGACACTCTTATTTGTGCCCTCCGTGTTCCGATAATTTTTCACAGAGGACTCTCATATATACAGGGTGATCCAGGGTTAAACGGCCACACTGCAGGAGCCGAAACACCTCCAAACCCCTCTTTAGATTGAGGTTTCGATTTTTTTAGATCATTTGTGAATTCAACGCATAAAAGTACAGAAGAGAACAAATGTTCATAAGATTTGGTTCACAACCGTCGCCAAAATTCAGGAGAAACAATTTACCTTCCGAAATTTTGGGGGGCCATAGCTCCGACTAAGGACACTTTTGGAAAAAAAAACTTTGTACGACAAACAAAAAAGTCTTATTTTGGCCCATAGAAGACGCTCCTGCAGTCTGGCCATTTAACCCTGGATCGCCCCATATAAAAGATGTTTAATTAAAACAGCTCTTGAAGATTAAATTAAATGAATCATTTTAATTCAGAGTTGGTTAATTTATTTGTGTACCAAGTGCACATAAAGTTCATTGATAGAGCACCTTCCGTAACGGAAATAAGGAAAAAACTAAGGGAGAAAGAGGAACAAAATAATTCAAGCGAAAATGGCTTCTTGACAGGACGGGATTAATAACAAGAAGAGATGGATGGAAGTTTTGTCGTTGACATTTATAATTATGGGTCATTCTTTTTCTTGGAAAATTTTATCGCAGCTAGGCACGTTGATGACCGTGTGAGGAAAAACGTACCTTAATCTACGGAGGCAAGTTTTACCGGACAGCCATTTTTGTCAAATCGTGTCCTTTAAAATCGGGATTTGAGGAGTCTATTGAGAACATGTGCTTGTATCCCAAGGAATAAGTAACGAGCTGTTCAGTCCAAATGAGAGGGCATGGAATTGCTCTGACAGTTGATCCGATATTTTTGACATTTGTGGACAAAATGTATCACATCATTCTCAGCAGCAAGCATGATTGCTGAAATTTTTGTAAGTTTTTTCTGAAAACTTTTTTGAAGTACAAAACTTAAACCGTCATGACTACAGTCCGATTTGAAATTTCTGTCCATTTTCTTAAAGAAATGTTTGAAAAGCATGCAAACAGAGGCGCCTTAACTCAATTTCGAAATATAGATCCTTTTATTTGAACCGCTGTTAGCAGCAAAAAACCAAGCCACTTCAGCTATTGCCAAATTTAATTGAGCAATTTATTTTTTATAAGAGAACGTTTGGGCGGATTTATTTGAGCATTTTAAGGAATTTGTCTCGTGCTATACAGAAAATTCACTGAAATGCGCACAAAAATCCGAGCAACAGTCTCCATGTAAAGAATTAACTTGCCCAATCAAATTTGGCAACAGCTGATGTGGCTTGGTTCCTTTCTGCTTAACGCAGTCCATTCGACGATAGTCCAACTCCGCATAACTTTGGGATATAATCACCCTCAAATTCAAGCCATCTGAGATTATCAAGCGTTTTGTACTTTTATTGGAACCTTTAAAGGATCGATGCAGAGCAGGTTCAGTTATAGGTAATCGCGTAAAATATGGTCAAAATTTATCGAGCGTGTATCATGATCCAGAATCTAACCTGCTTTCCAGTGTAAATCAACGCTTTTAAACAGTCTTGAACGTCAGATTTTAGACTTTTTATAGGATCGTGCGACTCCTCAACGTGTATTTTTGATCGAATTCTAATCTTACTTCGAAAATTTGGAAACATTGAAATCGAGATAAAGTTTTCCACTGCCAAAATTTTCCAAGAACCACAACACATTGGACACCACTCAGGCCCGATTAGAATTTTTATCTGTTAAAAAGAATTTTGCACATATCTTGACCTAATGCTGCCTAAATATGTTTATCTTGACTGAGATGGGTCCCTTTTTCCCGGTGCAAAACCGTCCGGTCGGATATTTCTCCAGGCATCAGCAAAAACCGCCGATTACTCGTGGAATTTTATTTGAGAACGAAAGAACGTAGTCCCAGAAAAAGGCCTGTGCTGGAAAAATCTGGCGGCGTGTAAAAAGGTTCGCATGGTACAACATGATTGTCCCACAATTCACCGCGTTGTGAATGTTCTTTTAAACAGTAATATACAAAAATAGCTCATCCTACTAGATTCAACTATAAAAAACCCAAGAAAATGGGGAAGGCTGTAAAAACAAACACAAAGCCTGGGATGATTCGGGATGGTTTCAACCCCTTCTTCGATCAGGAAACAAAAAAAAATATGAAACTATAAAAATTAAGACCCTCATTCGTGATAACATGAAAAAAAAACAAAAAACAAAAGGACACAAAAAGAAAACAGTTTTTTTGCTATTACGAATGGAGGTCCAAGGATCATGATTTTTATAATTTTATATATTTTTTGTTTCTTGATCAAGGAGGGGGTTAAAAACAACCCGGAACGTCCGAAGCTTCGTGTTGTTATTAAAGCCGGCCCTGATTACCGATATACTGGGGTTTTTTGTTTTTCTAGTAAATTACATTATTCAATTAAATTGTTTTAAATATCGCAATGAATCAACTTTTACCTGAGATATTCTTTCTACACAGGGATAGATTCTTTTTCCAGTGCAAAAACGTCTGTCCCGGGACCAGCGGGCTGATTGGTGAAATTGATAGACAAAGCTGTAGACAAAAAGGATATGGAGGGATCCTACTGGTGGAAGCGAGTGTTTGCAATAGACAAAGGAGGTAGGCAATAGACAAACCAACGGCAACCCACGAGAGACCCTTTAGTTAGTCCATCATTTTCTCCCTTAGTCTATATAAGAACCAACCAAATTAACCAATAGGATCGCTCCCTATTCATTATGTCCTCTTTGTCTATAGCTTTGTCTATCAATTTCAACGATCAGCCCGCAATGAAATCCCCCGATGACACTCTAAACTCTATTTCGGGACGAAAGAATGCAGTCTCGGAGAGATGGGCCGAGTGGGAAAACTCCCGTGGGTCGGTTTGGCCCGAGTTGGTGCGGGGCGCGCGTCGCGTTTTCCGCGGCGGCGGCTGAGCCGCCCGTCGCACGATGGATCGAGTCCATTAGAGAGGTCGGACAAGACTTCCTAGACTGAAACTGCAAATTTTGATGTTGTTTTTATCACATTTAAAATTCTAAAGGGTGTAACTGGAGGAAAATTTTGCGAGGAAACCAATGGAACCACTTTCAGAACCTTAAAATTTTGTATAAACGGAGTTATAAGCGTTTAAAGTTTCATAAAATTTGTCCGACCTCTCCTATTGACTCGACCCACTGTGCGGCGCGGCGCGGTGCAGCGGCCGAGACCGCGGGAGGCGCGGACCGAAGGAAGGATCCGAGCCGCAGCCGCCGCGGCAGTTGAGTTTATCTGCTATCGGCAGGCGTCACCATGGATACCTCTTCCTTCCTCCAAATCGCCGTAAGTACCCTCTAGAAACACCCCCGCTCCCATCGGAAAACGCATTCGTGTGAAGTGATAAGCGCGTTTTTTTGCTTCCCAACGGTCAGTTTCAACGCAATTTAATGGTCGTAAACGCGGTGATTCCCATCGGAACAAAGCCAAATTTGATGGTGAAACTGCAAAAGTGCGTATCTCGGTTGCGGTATTTGAAAATGTCTGCGCCTACGGGAAATTGGACCGGCATTATTGCTTGAAATTTTCACAGGATATTCTTCAAACAGAGCAGAAAAGTCTCCGAAGTTTTCAGTAAATGACGCTTAGTGGTTTTCCACGGAAAAAATAAAGTATGACAGGCAGTCTGCAACGCTGCAAACCGATGTACGCATTTCCGCAGTTTCAAAATCGATTTGTCTCAAGTGTTAACCCTCAAAATACCCGCGTCCCCTCGAGAAAACGCATACACCAAGGGGATTTATCGCTCTGATCGAAGGAAATGTAGGGCCATGTGCGTTTGGTTGTTTGTTTGTTTCTCTAATTGTATCTATCAAAGCAACCGAAGCGAAGACGGACGCGATCTTTTGAAAAGCTTTTTTTTTTTAAAAAAAGAAAGCTACGGTGCACATCTGGCACAACTTTTCACATACCAACACTCCCACCCCCATGGAAACGCACCCACCGGAACGATTTATCGCTGTGATCAAAGGAAGTGTAGTGCTATATGTGCGTTTGGTTGTTTGTTTATTTTTATAATCAAATATTTCAAAGGACTTAAATGATAACGAAAGCTTTGATTTCTTTCAAAAGAAGAATACAGCAGTGCGGCCGAATCCAACACAACTACTATGCTCCGAAACAACCCTGCTCCCAAGAAAACGCATCCACCGACAGGTTTTGTCCCTGTGTCTAAATAAAAACAGTGTCTTACGCGTTTTTTTTTTCTAATCAGTTATGTCAAATCCACTAAGTGATAAAGAACACGTTAATTTTTTCGAGTTAAAAAAAGCAGCAGTGTTACAATACAAATTTTACTCTCCATATAACCCTTACAGCTCTCCAGGACTCGTATCCACCGACATGCAATTTCGTTGTGACGAAGGAAACATAGTGAAGTGTGCGTTTTTTCTTTTTTCTGACCGAATTCGTCAATGTACCACTGGTAAAAAACACCAATTCTCTTTAAAAAAGTAAACAGCAATGTGACCAGTCCGTCTCAGTTCCTGGAATCCCCGCACAGTTTATGATTTTCTGGCCGCCCAAGCAGGTTATTGGTACCTACAACCAAAATAATTGTGATGTGCTCGTTGATTTTCGTTTTGCCGGAGGTGTTCCTGCGGTACATGACCAAACGCGGGTGTGGTGCGTGCGTTAATTTTGGTTCCAGTAGAAATGTTCCGACCGAGCTCAACAGTCAAAATAACTATTCTCCGTTTTTTAGTTGACTAAGTTTTCGGGGGAAGTTGAGTGCTGGGAGTGGACACAAGGCTTGAACTTAATCTAAAACGATCTTATTGACACTTTCATTTTTTAGTATGTGCTATGTGATTGTGAGTAAGGGCAGTTTTTTAGCAAAGATTTCCGGGAAATTAAATATCAGTCGGAAATTTTCCGAAACGCTCCTCACAGAGGTCTCATTCCCGAAAAGGGAAAAGTTCTCACTTTGATTGTCAGCAGGAATCATGGCCAGATTTACCTACTTGCCGCCCACGGGCCGCCTGTATTTTGCCGCCCTCTTCTCATTCATTTCGAAACATCAATAAAAACCATCAAGTGAACGTGCCGGAGGGAGAAGGGTGCATAAGACGCGTTCACTCGTGTTGGACACATTTTTTTGCGTAAACCTTGTTAACACAACAGGCCAAAGTTCACGAAACTTTGCGCGGAAGATAAGTCCCGTAAACCTATCTCTGTGGGGACAAGGCCTTTCATTTGTAAGAAATGAACTAAAGAGTTAAGGAAGAACGAACATAAATGTGGTTTAATTATTTTAACTTCCGCCGCCGTGCCGCGCTGACCACACTGTGTTTGGCGCAATGCGTGAAGTATTCATGTTGTCTTGTAGGCACTGTGCGTTTCACGCCGCGCCGACCGCTGTTGACCGTACTGTGTTTGACGCAATGCGTGAAGTATTCATGCAGTCTCGTAGGCGCTAGTATATGTTACATGCCGACCGCCGCGTCGAGGGCTTCTCCTTTTCATCTCAAGTCCTCGTCATCATTTCTCTTTGCGCCGCGCCGCTCCAGGCCAAATTACGTGTTTGGTTTCTATCTTAACTCAACTAATTAAAGGTGCGCAGTCTTTTGCATCACCGAAATACGACACAATCAGAAATTAATGAACTCTCAGGAAATGAGAGATTTTGTCACCTTTTCTTGTTTGTAATTTTTTTCTGAATCCGATTTTTTGTATACCCGCATTTAAAAAAATTGCAAAATTTGCCGCTCCCTAATTTTGCCGCCATGGGTTGCGGCCCATGTGGCCACCCCCTTAATCCGGCCCTGGCAGGAATATCCTTATTTATGATCCTTTTAGTAAAGGATATCTTCCTTTCCCGAAAAAACATTACAAGGACTACTTACATCAACGGCAAGGCGTGAATGATTGACTATCGATATTTCCCCATTTGAAACTGTGGTAAAGAATCGATTATTAAGGTGTCCGTTGCGAGCACACTCTTTATCGATCCTTTTACATAGGTGTAACTGGGATAGATTAATCGATTTATCGCAAAACACGATACGCTACTGGCTTATATTAAGACTAGGTTAATAAGTTTGGAGTCCTCCAGTGATTTTATTTAGACGAATACAAGGTTTTTCATCAGCAAAAATCATCGAGTACCCAAAATAAACTATTAAATCCTGGATAATGTGCCTACATACGAGGTTTTTCACTAGCAAAAATCATCAAGTACTCAAAATAAACTATTAAGTCCTGGAAAATGCGCCTACAGTTTATACAAGAGCCTTTTTCGGTCATTTCTTTGAGTTCAGAAGGTGGCGTAGGTCAGATATGGCAGGGTATCAGAAGCGTCGGTTTTTATAGTGAAAGTTAACGTAAACTAACACGCAATTTGGCCTGGAACGGCGCGACTCAGAGAGAAACGATGACGAGGACTTGAGATGAAAAGGAGAAGCCCTCGGAGCGGCGATCGGCGTGTAACACATATTAGCCCCTACATGACTGCACAAATACTTCACGCATTGCGGCAAACACAGTGCGATCAGCGTGAAACGCATAGCGCCTACAAGACTGCTCGAATACTTCACGCATTGCGTCAAACACAATGCGCTCAGCAGCGGTCGGCGTGAAACTCATAGCGCCTACAAGACTGTCGGAATACTTCACGCATTGCGCCAAACACAGTGCGGTCTGCGCGGCGCGGCGGCGGGAGTTAAAATCATTAATCCACATTTATGTTTGTTCTTTCATAATTTTTTCGTTCATTTCATGTAAATGGAAGGCCTTGTCCACACAGAGATAGGTTTACGAGACTTAACTTTCGCGCAAAGTTCCGTGAACTTTTGCTAGTAGTGTTGACAGGGCTTTCCCAAAAAATGTGTGTAACACAAGTAAACGCGTCTCACGCACTCCTTCCCCGCTGGCGCGTTCATTTGATGGTTTTTATTGATGTTTCAAAACGAATGAGAAGGGGGCAGCAAAATACAGGCGGCCCATGGGCGGCAAGTCGGTAAATCCGACCCTGCTGAAAACCTATAAATATCTCCTCAGATTTTTTCAAGAGTAAATAATTTCCTTGGGAGATTTTCTCAACGTCCAAATACCCACAGAGTCTTCTCCTTTAACACGGTGGCGTCATCCTCGGAAAATATTGCAGCGTTATCGGACGAACTGCGATAATGCCACACGCGTTTATTTCCGCTCCAGAGTGGCAGCGGTACACGCGCGAGTATCCAACATCCATCGGGAAAAGCGGAAATCAGAGGCCTCGGCCGACAATTCTCAGGCATCCACCTGCTCTGAAACGCGTCTGCAAAAGGGCATTCCTCCCTCTTTTTTTCACACGCGGACCATTCCGGGGGCCTCCGTGAAATGTCGAGTGTGAACTGCGGTCTGCGCGCCGCTTCCAGCCGAGGATTTTTTTGTCCGTCCGTTCTTCTGCTCTTTTCGTGGTCAAGGCTACGGCTAATCGCTCAACTCGCACTCGGCGCACAGTGGATCAAGTTCATCAGAGAGGGTGGACATGAAATTTTTCACTACAACTGCAAATTTTGATGTTAATTTCGTCAAATTTTAAATTTCGAGGGGTGCTTTTGAAAGAAAATTTTACGAGGAAACCGATGGACCCACATTTAGAACCTCGAAGTTTCATAAAAACGGAATTATAAGCTTTTAAAGTTTCCGAATTTTGTCCGACCTCTCCTTTTGACTCGATCCACTGTGCGGCGCTGGGAAATTTGTCATGCCGCTCGAGTGTGCGCCATGCCGCGGTTTGACGTCCGGCATGCGATCAATGCAGTGATAAGGGCTCCTGTCTGTTCGAATTATTCGCTATCGGGGGAAAAACTAGGTATTGAGCTGCTTTGCCCTCGCCTTTCCTGCACGCATTATTTTATGACCATTTATGGTTGGAGCTTTCCTCTCTTCGTGTATTAGGCTTTTTTTCTGGAGTGATAAGAAATAACACTCAATACAAACTACACCAGAAAAAATTAACTTGATTTAATCAGAAATGTTCGAGCAGTTGTCATCACGATTGTATTCTCTTGAATTAAGAACCTCTCTGGAATGAAGCAGATTTCTGCTTGATACGCGCGGTCTTCTTTATTGATATAAGCATCTTGTGTTCTTGATTTTAGAGGAAATCCTCTTGGAGGCTAAAAGAAATTCTCGTTTGGATCAAGTCACTTCCTTCTTTCCAGTGTAGATTGAAATTTGCTTGGGTTAAGTTGTTGGTGACTGCGGTGAACATAAGTTTGGCCTACATTTATAGGTGCAACAAGTACAGACCTGCGATGGAATGATTAAACAGAACCATTTCCTAGAGTTCATCCAGTTCG